TCCCTACTATCATACTTCCATTCAATTCTAAATGTAATTGATTTGGGTCACTAGCACCCAGTTCCTCTGAAACTTCTAAATTATTAACAAGGGATCATTGTTTGCCCGAACTAAGTCAAGCAGGTTTTTTACCCCTTTTTTCTGTCACAAACTGCTTCAAAAAACAATCCTGAACTACTTCTAAGAAGTCGTATGATTCTAAATTCCCAGTCAAGAAATTCCAATCAATATGAATAAAGTTTTAAAATCTCCTAGAATTACTAAAATTATCGTGCCTTGTGGGCCCCAAACAATTTTTCCCCCCATAGTAGTCTCCCCCGGTCCCTATCTAAATTTGGGGGACGGTATATCACACCTAAAATTTAACTTTTCATGCCCCCCTGAAAATTTTATCCAAACAGACTCTGTATGTGTTTTCTTCAGACTTAATACCCGTTTTTATAAGAATGCAACAGTTCAAGTGATCTCGGACATACAGTGCACCCCACCCCCCTTCCTGATACTTCTATCTACTTGGAACAATTTTAAAACCCTGAATGTGACATTCTGCAGCATGTCCCGACTTTTGAATTAAACCACGTCTCAGTAATGGGAAATACATCTATGTTACCTGCACTAGCAACTAGTCTCAACTTGTCCATCTTATTCCTAGCACTGCGACTATTTGTGTTAATAAATACTTAAAGACCCTCCTCTTCTTTACCCTTCCTGCTCCTTTTTGTTATTCCACTAAACCTAAATTTCTGTCCTTGTCAATTATTTCCACTGGCTTTCCAATATCCACCTTATTTGCCTATTACTAGTTCTCCTAGTTTTCATATTAAATAAACCCCGAGACTTCACAGTTTTCCCGCAAAAAAACCCATACCACTAACTATTCCTTGTTTAAAGACCTAACAGTCCCTCCACTGCGTTGGTCAGTGCTCCCACCCCACACCTAGATAAGTGAACCCCATCCCTGGCGTACATGTCATTTCTGCCATAGAAGAGGTCCCAGTTGTCAATGAATGTTACCGCATTTTCCTTACAGTATTTGTCCAGCCAGCAATTGACACCAATTGCTCTGGACAACCATTCATTTCCAACTCCTCTCCTTGGCAAAATGCCACATATGACAGGTTTCCCACCCTTCCTCCTAATTATCTCTATTGCTGACCTATACCTGCTAATCAGGTCCTCACTCCTACGTCTGCCAACATCGTTGCCTCCAGCACTGAGACAGATAATAGGATTGCTCCCATTACCTCTCATGATGTCATCCAGACGGCTAACAATATCCTTCATCCCAGCCCCAGGAAAACACACTCTCTGCCTCCTACTCCTATCCTTCAAGCAGAATGCCCTATCCATGTACCTAATCTGGCTATCCCCAACAACAACAATGTTTTTACCTTCCTTGGCATCGTCCGTCGTGATGCTCCGAGTAGTCGACTCACATTCGCTAGGTAGCATTACACCACTTGTAGAATTCGTCAAGACCTTCTCGATGGTCTTCGTTGGGGTTTCTAGGGATGTCTCACTCACGTCTGCCAATGCTTCTTTGGTGCTCATTGTGGCATTCCCAGTAGAACACTCACATTCGTCAGGTAGCACCGAGAATGGGTTGAAAGTTTCCACGGTAGTCTTCTGGTTTCTCGTTGTTTCTACCTCTCCAACCGTTTTCTTGATCTTCAGCTTGGTTCCATGTTGCCCGGCCACTGACCAAGCTCCCCTCTTAACCTGGGGACTCACAACAGAAGGATTACTACGAATCCTCTTGTTCTCCTCCGTTAATCGCCGTTTCTCCATCTTAGCAACTCTGAGCTCTTCTCTCAGCTGCTGGTAAAGTTGCTCAAGAGAGGGCATCCTGGTTCAGATTCACAGAACACACAAACAGGTTTTCACAGAGCTAAGTACACATCACCAAGACAGCAATGCCTAAGCGTACGTAATAAGGCAAATAGATTACTGGGATTTATATCAAGAAGTGTAAGCAACAGAAGTCCAGAGGTCATACTGCAGCTTTATACATCATTAGTAAGGCCTCACCTAGATTATGCAGCTCAATTCTGGTCTCCATATTACAGAATGGACATAAATTCGTTAGAAAACATTCAGCGTAGGATGACTAAATTAATACATAGCATTAGAAATCTTCCTTATGAAGAAAGATTGAAGACTCTTAAGTTACATTCACTTGTTAGACGAAGAATGAGGGGAGACCTGATCGAAGTGTATAAGTGGAAGATAGGTATTAATAAAGGGGATATTAAGGTCTTGAGGATATCTCTCCAAGAGAGAACCCGCAGTAATGGATTTAAATTAGATAAGTTTAGATTTAGAAAGGACATAGGAAAGTATTGGTTTGGAAATAGGGTAGTTGATGAGTGGAACAGTCTACCTAGTTGGGTTATTGAGGCTAGGACTTTGGGTAGTTTCAAATTTAGGTTGGATAAGTACATGAGTGGGAGGGGTTGGATTTGAGAGGGACTTGCACATTGGAGCTTGTTTCTTGGGTGGCATTGAAAATTGGGTTGGTCAAATGCTTGTTAGTGCGATGAATTGTAAAGGACCTGCCTAGTATGGGCCAACAGGCCTGCTGCAGTGTTCCTCCTTTCTTATGTTCTTATGTATTTATTAAGCCTAAAAATGGTGGTCCGGGAGTGAGACGACTTGTACAGTGCAGAGGTAAAGGTAGGATCCAAACATACCTTGAAGAAGTCCTATAAGACTTTCGAAACCAAAAGAGAATGAATGCAGTAACTGCCAGCAAAAAGGCGGAGACAGGAGCCAAGACTCGACCCTGCATACACATGTAGGTAAGAGCACACGCGTACAAGAACCCTGGACCTGTTGGAGTGTGTATGAGAAAGCAAAAAGTGAAGAGAAAGTGAGACCATGGGATACTTATAACAAAAACTTAGGCTTTATACCCAGGTCATACACTGAGAACTGTGGATTACTGCCACCTTGTTTTGCTCTGGGGGAAAGGAGAGAGAGAGAGAGAGCGCGAGCTTGTCAATAAATTAGGAATCCTTAACTTATCAATAGCTTGTCAATAAAGTTAGGGGGCCTTAACCTAACCTTGTCAAACCCTGTGAAAAAAAAAAGAGGAAGTGTGTTATTTACCAGTTGTCAGAGGCGCTTGTCAGTAAACACCAGGCCTGTTATGTGTGTTAGTTATCAGTCTTCAAAAGCATCAGTCGATGGACACTAGGGTGTGTGTGTGTGGGGAGGGGGGACTTGACTCAAGAAATCGTAATGACACGATTGCAAACAAACCATACCCCCGGCCGGGATTGAACCCGCGGGGGACTTGCCTATATGTATGTGGATACAGCGGTCGTGTCAGGGTGTGTGTGTTATTGTGGCAGTAATGAGGCTGGCGGCGGTGGTAGGGAGAGTAGACAGTCGTACTAGTTGACAATAAGCCTTTATTATGCAACGTTTCACTCACAGGGCCTTCATAAAGTCCTACTGTAGGTGAAACGTCGCTTAATTAATACTGTTCCAGAAACTAGCATTAGAGGATGGGTGAAGATTAAGGAAGTATAAATGGAGAAGAAAAGAGTACAAGTGGAGAATATGTGAGTTTAACCTGAGAATAAGGAGTGTAAGTGGAGCATAAGGGAAAATAAGAGATGTTTGTGAAGAATAAGGGAGTCTGTGTAGAATAAGGTAGTATATGTCGAAATAAGGGGGTGTATGTGGAGATTACATGTGTAGTCTGGAAGTATAGCTCACCTACACCCTAATATAAATTTGTCGTTGTGACACCTTAGTCTCATTACCACATAGTGGTCACATCACCTGTCTCAGCCTAGTTTCTTAGGCGTTAGCTTTGTTACTAGATACTTGGAAATATCGTAAGTAACCTACAGTAGCTGGTGTTACGAGTTGTGTAGGTGATCCAACCTTTTTGTTTGTTTGTGGTGACGTGTACTTAGTCTCAGTGGTGACGTGTACTTAGCTCTGTGAAGACCTGTTTGTGTGCTCTCTGTGAATCTGAACCAGGATGCCCTCTCTTGAGCAACTTTACCAGCAGCTGAGAGAAGAGCTCAGAGTTGCTAAGATGGAGATACGGCGATTAACGGAGGAGAACAAGAGGATTCGTAGTAATCCTGTTGTGAGTCCCCAGGTTAAGAGGGGAGCTTGGTCTGTGGCCGGGCAACATGGAACCAAGCTGAAGATCAAGAAAACGGTTGGAGAGGCAGGAACAACGAGAAACCAGAAGACTACCGTGGAAACTTCCAACCCATTCTCGGTGCTACCTGACGAATGTGAGTGTTCTACTGGGAATGCCACAACGAGCACCAAAGAAGCATTGGCAGACGTGAGTGAGACATCCCTAGAAACCCCAACGAAGACCATCGAGAAGGTCTTGACGAATTCTACAAGTGGTGTAATGCTACCTAGCGAATGTGAGTCGACTACTCGGAGCATCACGACGGACGACGCCAAGGAAGGTAAAAACATTGTTGTTGTTGGGGATAGCCAGATTAGGTACATGGATAGGGCATTCTGCTTGAAGGATAGAGAGTAGGAGGCAGAGAGTGTGTTTTCCTGGGGCTGGGATGAAGGATATTGTTAGCCGTCTGGATGACATCATGAGAGGTAATGGGAGCAATCCTATTATCTGTCTCAGTGCTGGAGGCAACGATGTTGGCAGACGTAGGAGTGAGGACCTGATTAGCAGGTATAGGTCAGCAATAGAGATAATTAGGAGGAAGGGTGGGAAACCTGTCATATGTGGCATTTTGCCAAGGAGAGGAGTTGGAAATGAATGGTTGTCCAGAGCAATTGGTGTCAATTGCTGGCTGGACAAATTCTGTAAGGAAAATGCGGTAACATTCATTGACAACTGGGACCTCTTCTATGGCAGAAATGACATGTATGCCAGGGATGGGGTTCACTTATCTAGGTGTGGGGTGGGAGCACTGGCCAACGCAGTGGAGGGAGCCTTAGGTCTATTAAACTAGGAATAGTTAGTGGTATGGGTTTTTGGGGAAAAACTGTGAAGTCTCAGGGTAGTAATATGAGTACTAGGAGAACTAGTAATAGGCAAAATAAGGTGGATATTGGAAAGCCAGTGGCAATAATTGACAAGGACAGTAATAGGTTTAGTGGAATAACAGAAAGGAGCAGGAAGGGTAAAGAGAGAGGAGGGTCTTTAAGTATTTATTACACAAATAGTCGCAGTGCTAGGAATAAGATGGACGAGTTGAGACTAGTTGCTAGTGCAGGTAACATAGATGTATTTGCCATTACTGAGACGTGGTTTAATTCAAAACGTCGGGACATGCCTGCAGAATGTCACATTCAGGGTTTTAAATTGTTCCAAGTAGATAGAAGTATCGGGAAGGGGGGTGGGGTGGCACTGTATGTCCGAGATCGCTTGAACTGTTGCATTCTTATAAAAACGGGTATTAAGTCTGAAGTAACACATACAGAGTCTGTTTGGATAGAATTTTCAGAGGGGCATGAAAAGTTAATTTTAGGTGTGATATACCGTCCCCCAAATTTAGATAGGGACCAGGGGAGACTACTATGGGAGGAAATTGTTAGGGCCACAATGCACGATAATGTAGTAATTCTAGGAGACTTTAACTTTAGTCATATTGATTGGAATTTCTTGACTGGGAATTTAGAATCATACGACTTCTTAGAAGTAGTTCAGGATTGTTTTTTGAAGCAGTTTGTGACAGAACCTACAAGGGGTAATAACCTGCTTGACTTAGTTCTGGCAAACAATGAATCCCTTGTTAATTATTTAGAAGTTTCAGAGGAACTGGGTGCTAGCGACCACAAATCAATTACATTTAGAATTGAATGGAAGTATGATAGTAGGGATAACTCAGTAACAGTCCCAGATTTTCGCTTAGCAGATTACGATGGGCTTAGAGAACACTTGTCATCTGTTGACTGGGGTAACGAAGAGAGCTATCAATATGACAGTTTTCTGAACACAATACATGCTGCTCAAAGAACGTTTATCCCTGACCACGAACTTCGTTTTAAAGTCTATCGAAAACCCACCAACCAAAACGATCTTCTCCACTTCTACTCTCACCACGACACGAAAACCAAACGTGGTGTGATTATAGGCTTCTTCCTACGTGCACTCAGAATCTGCAGCAATGAGTTCCTTGAGGAAGAATGCACTATAATTGAACAAGTATTTTCTAAACTCCACTATCCTCGTCACTTTATCAGAGACTGCAGACGGCGGGCATTAAACATCTTCAACACACCCAGAGAAGACACTGCCGAGAAGAGATACATAGTCCTCCCCAACAACTCCATTGCCAAACATGTTTCCAACATCTTTGCCAAAACATCATTCCAAGTATCTACCTCCACAACCACGACCATCAAGGACATCACCAGTAGTAGACAGGACAAGCCTCCATCCTCTGCAGGGGTTATACATAATCCCTTGTAATGACTGCAACAAATTATATGTGGGCGAAACATCAAGAGACCTCCAAACACGCATTTCAGAACACCAATATGCAAGCAGGACTGACGATACAAGGAATGCCTGTGTACAGCATCGCAATTCACACAACCATTTAATTAACTACAGAAACTCAAGACTTATAGCCACAGAAGACAACACTAAATACAGAAGAATCCTGGAATTATCGCTTATCTCTATAACCAACAATTTCAACCAGAACAATGGCTTCTATAACATAGCTGAACCACTCGCCAAGAAACTTCTTCATCGCTAAGAACATAGAACACTGCAGAAGGTCTACAACTTGTCCAATACCCCTGCCAAGCTACCCAAGACTCTATAACCCCACCCGGTAGATCATCAGATGCAGCATTCTCCACCTGACCTCAACATTCTGACTATAAATACTCTCGTACCTTCCAACCCCAGGTAGATCCGTGTGTGACTTGAAAAAGCCCACTGTGTGGGTGAAACGTTGTCAATAAAGGATCACATTATACTGCATTTGTGTTTATATTTCCAGGGTGATCAGGTACAGATTGAGAGACCGGGAGGGGGGGGGGTGAACACGAGAGCACAGCTGAAAGTGGAAAACAAGAGATGAGTCACAAGGATGTTAGAAAGCATTTCTTCAATGTTAGTCGGGAAGTGGAACCACCTGGAGAATGACGTGGTAGAGGCAGGATTCGTGCATAACTTTAAGAGGAGGTACGATAAGAGACTCGAAGTCATGAGAGAGTGAAGCTAGTTGCCATCAGACTGGGCCAGGAGCTGAGACTCGACTCCTGCAACCACATACTGATGAGTACATATAGGTGAATACACGATCCTTTCTTAAAAAATGCAACCGTGTTAAGAAACATTCTCCCCATTAGTCTCCCTCCCCCCCCCCAAAAAAAAAAAAAAAAACTAAAAAAAATGTAATGCCAGCTCGTTTAAAAAAAAAAAATCCCAAAACAGATTGTTTTCCTTTCTGAAATAATATACAATTTTTAAAAACTCGTCTCCCATCAGAATGTTCTTACATTAAATAAGCAGATCGTCCGTAAGAGAGTCCTCACGACCTTCTAGGAAGTCACTCGTCGTGCATAAGATGATCATCTTAAACAGTGTTGCTTCTGCTCTCACTATCAAAATAGGGCACAGCCTTCTAAAAAAAGACACCCCCCTCCCTTACAAAATTCACTCTACACCGACATTGCGGAAAATTGTTATTCATGAGAAACGGCTAGAATTAGAAGCTTAGTTAAAAATTATATAAAATACAGACAAGTTGAAGATTAAGACACGTGCAACAGTTGGGTATCTTTATTGATAAAACGTTTCGCCTTTACAGTAGGCTTCTTCAGTCAAATACAGTGGGAGCAGTAGTAATGAAATAAAGATGATGTAATCAGTCCATCAACTTTGAAGAAAAAGTATATGAGGTGGGCAGCCTGGAGAAGAGTTCAGCTCCATGGAGCTGAACTCTTGCACATGTATCTTGAAGATTGAGACACTTATGCAGCATATATGATCCCGCCTCCGTCTGCTTCAAGTCACCTCACTACAGTATATAAGCCACGTCTACGGCCCTATGCTGTACATTCTACAAGATTGATGGACTGAACACATCGACTCCAGGCTGAGGGACTGATTACCTCATTCTCCTCCTCTCCTTACGCCTTCCTCTTTGTATTGGACTGAAGCCACTGTGTGGCGAAACGTTTCCTGATTAAAGATTCCCATATGCTGCATAAGTGTCTCAATCTTCAACTTGTCGGTTTTTCAAACCATTCATCACACATGTATCTTAATCTTCACATGTCTTAATCTTCAAGTAGAAGTTTTCTTAAAGACTCAACACCTTTACGAAAGTAATCCTCTCACATCACAGTAGTCGTCGCCTCGTACACCTGATGCGTTTATCAAAGTCTTTCTCTCGCATCACAATCTTCTTGCACTCGTAATACCTTGATAGAACTGTTCGCTCGCATCACAACCTTCTTGCTCTATTAATACCTTGATAGAATTGTTCTCTCACATCATAGGGACCGCTCACACCCTCATACTTCACCCAGTTATTCTCTCATATTAGTCTTCTCATTAAAATTATCCTCACATCATAGGGTCTTCCATACACCCACAACACCCCCATCAAAGTTATGCTTTCACATCACAAATATTATCCTAGAAGTAACATATCCTTTTCCAAAAAAATCTGACGTTCTTGCAAAAATATATTCGACTTGGCGGTCGGTAAAAGACACACATGCGCTGATAAACACATTTGTTAAGGAAACTTTTCGTCATAAGTTTCTCCTTCAGTCTTTATCATATCTTTGACCTCCAACTTGTCGTTTTCACCATAACACTTCCACCATATACTAAATTGTAAATTTAGTTTCATTTGATGGAGCCCCTACTCCTTCTTTCCAAAGAAGTTCTGGATTGACAAGCTATGTGGCTCCCTTAAGGGTTTATTGAATCCCTATGAATATAATAAAAGAGTGGTTGAGGGTAGTACTGTCTACTGCTGGCGTCAAGATAGATATGAAACAGAACATGCCCTTAATTTGACAGTTTTCTTCTAAGACGAGCTTTATTGATACAACGAATAAGGGTTGTTACGATTCAAACATCTTTTACATTATTAACGAATAAAGTATTTCTTTGCTGACTTGATAGGCAGGAGAGGTACTAAAACGAACAGATATCATTGTCTCTATTTTGTACGTGGTGGGAAGGGTGTAAGGTACAAGGTGTATGGTATAAGGGATATGAAGGGGTGTCTGGTACATGGAAATGATGTCTGGTATAACGGATGGGGTGTATGGTACAAGGGATGGGAGGGGTAAGGGTGTGTTAACCATCACGGATGTGTGGGGGGAATGTGGTCAAGGGCGGACCCTGGCCTCATCTGCCGCCCTCATGTTCTGGATCTTGTCTGTTGGGGGGCGTGAAGTGCCACTAGTTTGTGTGTGTGTGTGTGTGTGTGTGTGTGTACTCATTTGTACTCAGCTATTTGTGGTTGCAGGGGTCGAGTCTTAGCTCCTGGCCCCGCCTCTTCACTGGTTGTTACTGGGTTCTCTCTCTCCCTGCTCCATGAGCTTTATCAAACCTCGTCTTAAAACTAAGTATGGTTCCCGCCTCCACTGCGTCTGTGTGTGTGTGTGTACTCACCTAGTTGTACTCACCTAGTTGAGGTTGAAGGGGTCGAGTCCAAGCTCCTGGCCCCGCCTCTTCACTGATCGCTACTAGGTCACTCTCCCTGAACCGTGAGCTTTATCATACCTCTGCTTAAAGCTATGTATGGATCCTGCCTCCACTACATCGCTTCCCAAACTATTCCACTTGCTGACTACTCTGTGGCTGAAGAAATACTTCCTAACATCCCTGTGATTCATCTGTGTCTTCAACTTCCATTTGTGTCCCCTTGTTGCTGTGTCCCATCTCTGGAACATCCTGTCTTTGTCTACCTTGTCAATTTCTCTCAGTATTTTGTATGCCGTTATCATGTCCCCCCTATCTCTCCTGTCCTCCAGTGTCGTCAGGTTTATTTCCCTTAACCTCTCCTCGTAGGACATACCTCTTAGCTCGGGGACTAGTCTTGTTGCAAACCTTTGCACTTTTTCTAGTTTCTTTACGTGCTTGGCTAGGTGTGGGTTTCAGACTGGTGCCGCATACTCCAATATGGGCCTAACGTACACGGTGTACAGGGTCCTGAACGATTCCTTATTAAGATGTCGGAATGCTGTTCTGAGGTTTGCTAGGCGCCCATATGCTGCAGCAGTTATTTGGTTGATGTGCGCTTCAGGAGATGTGCTTGGTGTTATACTCACCCCAAGATCTTTTTCCTCGAGTGAGGTTTGTAGTCTCTGGCCCCCCTAGACTGTACTCCGTATGCGGTCTTCTTTGCCCTTCCCCAATCTTCATGACTTTGCACTTGGTGGGGTTGACCTCCAGGAGCCAATTGCTGGACCAGGTCTGCAGCCTGTCCAGATCCCTTTGTAGTTCTGCCTGGTCTTCGATCGAATGAATTCTTCTCATCAACTTCACGTCATCTGCAAACAGTGACACTTCGAAGTCTATTCTTTCCGTCATGTCGTTCACAAATACCAGAAACAGCACTGGTCCTAGGACTGACCCCTGTGGGACCCCGCTGGTCACAGGTGCCCACTCTGACACCTCGCCACGTACCATGACTCGCTGCTGTCTTCCTGACAAGTATTCCCTGATCCATTGTAGTGCCTTCCCTGTTATCCCAGCTTGGTCCTCCAGTTTTTGCACTAATCTCTTGTGTGGAACTGTGTCAAACGCCTTCTTGCAGTCTAAGAAAATGCAATCCACCCAACCCTCTCTCTCTTGTCTTACTGCTGTCACCCTGTGTTGCGTACAGGGCCACTACTTAAGCCTGTTTAGCCCTTGCAACAAATAAACAGGATTGAATATCCTGTTCTAGATGAAATCATTCGAGGGTTCAGTAGTAAACAATCACAATGTTTCTTTCCGGTATTTTATTAAGTTTCTTAATAAACCATAGAAGGGTTTTATATTAACTTTAAAAAGGTCGCACCATAAAACAGAGTACTCATGAAATTTACACTTAAGTTCACTTAAAAGATAATACACAGTATTATCTTGATTATAGTACTGAACGGCTCTAGTATCATAACACCTTCTCTTCACATATTAACACTTTACTTAACTCAATCCAAATGAGACAGAAGACGTAACACTTCAATAATAATTCACTCTTATTCAACTTTCATAATATACTAAGTGAGATTAGGAATATTTTACACTTAAAGGAATTTTGAGGCGAGTCTGTCTCCCATGACTTTTTTCACCGTCCTCTTTGAACCAATACTGCTTAAATTCACTCCTAGCAGAGCTAGGGACAATCACCAGCGTCTCCAAAACAGCAACACACACTTCGTCCAAGACGTTTCTGTCAGATACCGTCCGAGGTACTGGAGGGTCACTAGGGAACCTCATGTGGGACCAGAAGTTTAAATCCAGGAATCGGGGAGCTTCCCTCACGAGAGGTGAGGAAGGTAAGAACTGAACTCTGTGAGGCTTTACCAGCCCACTTTGCCTCGGTCGGAGCAGGGGTCGAGCAGCTCAAAACACCTACTGGTGCTTGGCCAGGTCACCAGCAGTTGACACTAATTAAATGACCTACCTAAATACAAAGCTAAGTAATACGACCAGATAATATTATAAAGTCAAGTAAATCCATTTTAGCTACTAATGGAATTACTCCTGAATATAATATTAAGTGAAATAGCAAAAATAACATGTAATAGTATACCATTGTGATAAGAAAATGAACAAAATGAACAAAAGGGTGTAACACCCTGTCATAGAACTCCAGTGGGTTTGTGACACAGGATTTCCCGTCCCTGAAACCATGTTGGCTGCTGTTGATGAGATCATTCCTTTCTAGGTGTTCCACCACTCTTCTCCTGATAATCTTCTCCATGACTTTGCATACTATACATGTCAGTGACACTGGTCTGTAGTTTAGTGCTTCATGTCTGTCTCCTTTTTTAAAGATTGGGACTACATTTGCTGTCTTCCATGCCTCAGGCAATCTCCCTGTTTCGATATATGTATTGAATATTGTTGTTAGGGGTACACATAGCGCCTCTGCTCCCTCTCTCAGGACCCATGGAGAGATGTTATCCGGCCCCATTGCCTTTGAGGTATCTAGCTCACTCGGAAGCCTCTTCACTTCTTCCTCGGTTGTGTGTGCTGGGTCCAGCACTTGGTGGTGTACCCCACCTCTCCGTCTTTTTGGAGCCTCTTCTGTCTCCTCTGTAAACACTTCTTTGAATCTCTTGTTGAGTTCTTCACATACTTCACGGTCATTTCTTGCTGTCTCTCCTCCTTCCTTCCTTAGCCTGATTACCTGGTCCTTAACTGTTGTTTTCCTGATGTGGCTGTATAACAGCTCCGAGTCAGATTTGGATTTTGCCGCTATGTCGTTTTCATATTGTCGTTGGGCCTCCCTTCTTATTTGTGCATAGTCATTTCTGGCTCTACGACTGCTCTCCTTATTCTCCTGGATCCTTTGCCTTCTATATTTCTTCCATTACCTAGCACACTTGGTTTTTGCCTCCCTGCACCTTTGGGTGAACCATGGGTTGTGTGTGTGTGTGTGTGTGTGTGTACTCAGTTGTGCTCACCTAGTTGAGGTTGCAGGGGTCGAGTCCAAGCTCCTGGCCCCGCCTCTTCACTGGTCGCTGCTAGGTCACTCTCCCTGAACCGTGAGCTTTATCATACCTCTGCTTAAAGCTATGTAGGGATCCTGCCTCCACTACATCGCTTCCCAAACTATTCCACTTCCTGACTACTCTGTGGCTGAAGAAATACTTCCTAACATCCCTGTGATTCATCTGTGTCTTCAACTTCCAACTGTGTCCCCTAGTTGTTGTTGTTGTGTGTGTGTGTGTGTGTGTGTGTGTGTGTGTGTGTGTGTGTGTGTGTGCGTGCGTGCGCGCGCGCCTTAATCGCACCATTATAAGCATACTTGCAGGACCTGCGAAGAGTAACCTTTGTATGTGGAGAGAAACTGTTTGGAGGAAAGGAAAGTGGATTTGAAGACAATAGTAGCGTTGAAGCTCCCGCATCCGCTACCTATACATACGCTCTTGCATACTCACTGCTACAACACAAATCAACCACTGCCACACCGACATAAATCAGATACCACTGCCACACCGACATAAATCAGATACCACTGCCACACCAGCATAAATCAGATACCACTGCCACACCAACACAAATCAACCGCTGCCACACCAAAACAAATCACCCACCGCCACTCCAAGACAACACAAACACAAGATACTGGGAAGGCGGAAGGTGACCAACAGGTGGGCACCGGAGCTCAAGTGTCTAATGTTATACCTTGGTCTCACCCGCTGGTGCCACTATCCTCCCCCACCCTTGTCCTCCTAGTGCTCTGGCAGCGTGGCACTGTCCTCGAGTATATAAGGGCACCTACCTCACCCTCATGGTCAGTCACAGCGTCTCTGCACCTCTGCCAGTGACCTGTGAGTGTCTTTATCCAGTGCGCAAGTGTAGTGTGCAGTCTGTACTTCTAAACAGGTATTTCCACTGTGACGAGTGTTATGTTTCTGCAGCAAGCAACTAGATACATCTGGTCCTCGTCAGGTGACTTCCAAGTTCGTTGTATGTCGTGTGTGTGTGTGTGTGTGTGTGTGTGTATGGACAAGTGCGACTCCTTGTGACGAAGTGTGTCCGGGAGCAGAGTGAAGACAAGCAAGTAAGTGTGAGCTTGATTGACAGCAGATACCAGAGCAGTAGCTGAGGGGAAGTCTGGTGTAGTCGGCTTCTCATATACGTTACGTCTCTCCAAGGGAGCGTTTGAAAGATTTTGCCTCGAGGGGCGAGTTTATTGAGCAGTGCCACTTATTCTGTGAAGGAACATACCTTCATAAAGACGAGACCTTTCAGCTCAAATAGTGGACACGTCATTGGCTATACCTCTTCCATCCTCGGAAGGAGAGCGTGAAGAAGCAGCCTGTTGAAGGCTTCACCGCCGTTGGTAGGAAGAAGCCGAGGCGTGGGGGCTTGAGGGTGGTGTGCCGCGGCTGGTGGAGCCGCCACAGCCACCGTCAGTAGTACCTCAGCTATGTCGACCAAGTGTACTACGATGAGACGGAAGGGAAGGCAACAGCGGCAGCGCCAACGACCCATCTCTGCCCCGAAGTCGCGAGCCACGTCGTCGTCTTCCTCCTCTGTAGGAGAAAAGGAGATCCCAGAAACGACGCCATGTCTTCGACACTGCCTCGAGCAGCAGACTAGTAAGCACTTCTTTCTTCTCCAAGACATTCTTCACCAGAATGTGGATTCGAACCTGTGTAGGTATCACTCAAAGGCCACCGGTGTGCCCAGCTTCGGAAACTAACAAACAGCCTCAGCTGTCTGCCCAAAGTTAATGGGATCATGGCTAACTAAAGCACTAAGTAAATGACACACCAGGTTGGCCCTGAATAGCATAGGTTCGAATCCATACACTGGTGAGATCAAATGTTTGTATATACTGTGTGCATAATATATATATATATATATATATATATATATATATATATATATATATATATATATATATATATATATATATATAGTAGGTAGTAGGTTTGGTAGACAGCAACCACCCAGGGAAGTACTACCGTCCTGCCAGATGACTGTGAAACAGAAACCTGTAACTGTTTTGCATGATGGTAGGATTGCTGGTTTCTTTTTCTGTCTCATAAACACGCTAGATAACAGGGATATCTTGCTACTCCTACTTACACTTTGGTCACACTTCACAGACACGCACATGCATATATATATATATATATATATATATATATATATATATATATATATATATATATACACATACATCTAGGTTTTTCTCCTTTTTCTAAATAGCTCTTGTTCTTCTTTATTTCTTCTATTGTCCATGGGGAAGTGGAAAAGAATCTTTCCTCCGTAAGCCATGCTTGTCGTATGAGGCGACTAAAATGCCGGGAGCAATGGGCTAGTAACCCCTTCTCCTGTAGACATTTACTAAAAAAGAGAAGAAAAACTTTATAAAACTGGGATGCTTAAATGTGCGTGGATGTAGTGCGGATTGCTGATGTTATGAATGAAAAGAAGTTGGATGTCCTGGCCCTAAGCGAAACAAAGCTGAAGGGGGTAGGGGAGTTTCAGTGGGGGTAAATAAATGGGATTAAATCTGGAGTATCTGAGAGAGTTAGAGCAAAGGAAGTGGTAGCAGTAATGTTAAATGATCAGTTATGGAAGGAGAAAAGAGAATATGAATGTGTAAATCAAGAATTATGTGGATTAAAGTAAAGGTTGGATGCGAAAAGTGGGTCATAATAAGCGTGTATGCACCTGGAGAAGAGAGGAATGTAGAGGAGAGAGAGAGATTTTGGGAGATGTTAAGTGAATGTATAGGAGCCTTTGAACCAAGTGAGAGAGTAATTGTGGTAGGGGACCTGAATGCTAAAGTAGGAGAAACTTTTAGAAAGGGTGTGGTAGGTAAGTTTGGGGTGCCAGGTGTAAATGATAATGGGAGCCCTTTGATTGAACTTTGTATAGAAAGGGGTTTAGTTATAGGTAATACATATTTTAAGAAAAAGAGGATAAATAAGTATACAAGATATGATGTAGGGCGAAATGACAGTAGTTTGTTGGATTATGTATTGGTAGATAAAAGACTGTTGAGTAGACTTCAGGATGTACATGTTTATAAGAGGGGCCACAGATATATCAGATCACTTTCTAGTTGTAGCTACACTGAGAGTAAAAGGTAGATGGGATACAAGGAGAATAGAAGCATCAGGGAAGAGAGAGGTGAAGGTTTATAAACTAAAAGAGGAGGCAGTTAGGGTAAGATATAAACAGCTATTGGAGGATAGATGGGCAAATGAGAGCATAGGCAATGGGGTCGAAGAGGTATGGGGTAGGTTTAAAAATGTAGTGTTAGAGTGTTCAGCAGAAGTTTGTGGTTACAGGAAAGTGGGTGCGGGAGGGAAGAGGAGCGATTGGTGGAATGATGTAAAGAGAGTAGTAAGGGAGAAAAAGTTAGCATATGAGAAGTTTTTACAAAGTAGAAGTGATGCAAGGAGGGAAGAGTATATGGAGAAAAAGAGAGAGGTTAAGAGAGTGGTGAAGCAGTGTAAAAAGAGAGCAAATGAGAGAGTGGGTGAGATGTTATCAACAAATTTTGTTGAAAATAAGAAAAAGTTTTGGAGTGAGATTGTCAGTTAAAAATAGGAGAGGAGAGTTATTAAATGGAGAGTTAGAGGTATTGGGAAGATGGAGGGAATATTTTGAGGAATTGTTAAATGTTAATGAAGATAGGGAAGCTGTGATTTCGTGTATAGGGCAAGGAGGAATAACATCTTGCAGGAGTGAGGAAGAGCAGAGTTGTGAGTGTGGAGGAAGTTCGTGAGGCAGTAGGTAAAATGAAAGGGGGTAAGGCAGCCGGGATTGATGGGATAAAGATAGAAATGTTAAAAGCAGGTGGGGATATAGTTTTGAAGTGGTTGGTGCAATTATTTAATAAATGTATGGAAGAGGGTAAGGTACCTAGGGATTGGCAGAGAGCATGCATAGTTCCTTTGTATAAAGGCAAAGGGGATAAAAGAGAGTGCAAAAATTATAGGGGGGTAAGTCTGTTGAGTATACCTGGTGAAGTGTATAGTAGAGTTATTATTGAAAGAATTAAGAGTAAGACGGAGAATAGGATAGCAGATGAACAAGGAGGCTTTAGGAAAGGTAGGGGGTGTGTGGACCAGGTGTTTACAGTGAAACATATAAGTGAACAGTATTTAGATAAGGCTAAAGAGGTCTTTGTAGCATTTATGGATTTGGAAAAGGTGTATGACAGGGTGGATAGGGGGGCAATGTGGCAGATGTTGCAGGTGTATGGTGTAGGAGGTAGGTTACTGAAAGCAGTGAAGAGTTTTTACGAGGATAGTGAGGCTCAAGTTAGAGTATGTAGGAAAGAGGGAAATTATTTCCCAGTAAAAGTAGGCCTTAGACAAGGATGTGTGATGTCACCGTGGTTGTTTAATATATTTATAGATGGGGTTGTAAGAGAAGTGAATGCGAGGGTCTTGGCAAGAGGCGTGGAGTTAAAAGATAAAGAATCACACACAAAGTGGGAGTTGTCACAGTTGCTCTTTGCTGATGACACTGTGCTCTTGGGAGATTCTGAAGAGAAGTTGCAGAGATTGGTGGATGAATTTGGTAGGGTGTGCAAAAGAAGAAAATTAAAGGTGAATACAGGAAAGAGTAAGGTTATGAGGATAACAAAAAGATTAGGTGATGAAAGATTGGATATCAGATTGGAGGGAGAGAGTATGGAGGAGGTGAATGTATTCAGATATTTGGGAGTGGACGTGTCAGCGGATGGGTCTATGAAAGATGAATTGAATTATAGAATTGATGAGGGGAAAAGGGTGAGTGGTGCACTTAGGAGTCTGTGGAGACAAAGAACTTTGTCCTTGGAGGCAAAGAGGGGAATGTATGAGAGTATAGTTTTACCAACGCTCTTATATGGGTGTGAAGCATGGGTGATGAATGTTGCAGCGAGGATGAGGCTGGAGGCAGTGGAGATGTCATGTCTGAGGGCAATGTGTGGTGTGAATATAATGCAGAGAATTCGTAGTTTGGAAGTTAGGAGGAGGTGCGGGATTACCAAAACTGTTGTCCAGAGGGCTGAGGAAGGGTTGTTGAGGTGGTTCGGACATGTAGAGAGAATGGAGCGAAACAGAATGATTTCAAGAGTGTATCAGTCTGTAGTGGAAGGAAGGCGGGGTAGGGGTCGGCCTAGGAAAGGTTGGAGGGAGGGGGTAAAGGAGGTTTTGTGTGCGAGGGGCTTGGACTTCCAGCAGGCATGCGTGAGCGTGTTTGATAGGAGTGAATGGAGACAAATGGTTTTTAATACTTGACGTGCTGTTGGAGTGTGAGCAAAGTAACATTTATGAAGGGGTTCAGGGAAACCGGCAGGCCGGACTTGAGTCCTGGAGATGGGAAGTACAGTGCCTGCACTCTGAAGGAGGGGTGTAAATGTTGCAGTTTAAAAACTGTAGTGTAAAGCACCCTTCTGGCAAGACAGTGATGGAGTGAATGATGGTGAAAGTTTTTCTTTATTCGGGCCACCCTGCCTTGGTGGGAATCGGCCAGTGTGATGATAAATAAAAATAATATATATATATATATATATATATATATATATATATATATATATATATATATATATATATATATATATATATATAATGGGAATTAGGTAACAGCTCTAGGCCTTTTGCGGTCTCTCCAGTGCTTCGTCAGAAGCTTGCAGCAAGAGGAAATTGCAAAAGATGGAAAATCCCAGTAGTTAGTTAGCAAGATTTAGCCGGGGCAAACACCACCACTGTGTCTCTGGCGGTGATGCTTGCTCTGGCTACATTTACTTGGTTGACCTCTGCGACTTTTCCACATCATTTTTTTTTTATTTTCCCATATTGTAAGCCACTGACGAAGTGCGGGAGATAAGCAGACTCCCCTTCTGGCTTTCTTGCTGTTTGCTCGCACATATTGCTTATATATATCGTGCCAAATAGGTAAAACTTGTGATTTTTGGCTTAAATAGCAATGTTCTTCTTGCCAAATTAGGCAAGCGAAAATTTGTGTATGCAGTAATTTCGCAAAAATAATTCTGAACCTAACGAAAAAAATATAATGTGTTTATTATTAAATGATTGTAAACTTGTATAAATTATATTTGGTTGGATTAGGCTAAATTAAATTGTTCTTGTTATAATAGCATTAGGTAAGTTTCCTAAGGTGCTTTTGGTGCAAAATCATTAATTTTTATATTAACATAAATAAAAAACATACATCTTTAAAAGTATAAGACAAAATTTTAGAAAGGACGTAATTTTAATTAAATGAGTTCTTGCTAATTGACCAGTTTTACCTATTCGGCATGACATATAATTAATATATGCATTCATTCATACATACATATACATACATAGTCATGTGCCGCTTGGCGATGTTTCGTCCAGCAACAGACCGCACATACTACGGTGGTTCCATAATATTATAATGGAGTTGCCAGTTGTATAAAAGCATAGCACATACAGTTATCTAGAGTACATAATACTTGATAATGATGATAAACAACTGTTACTGGTTTATGTATTTACTATAATTTTTATCGTTATTCTGCAGTGTATGTACTCTTTCTACATATAAAATTGTTTTACTGCAAGACAGTATGCCGTGTTACGCCGGCAGAAGCCTCATACAT